AGGGGAAAAAAATAGTGGTTGCTTAGCCAATCAGCTCCTCCTTCTCCCCCCAGCACCTTCTGCCCACCAATGGGCCGCACGGATCAGCTCCTCCCCCACCCCCACCCCAGTGCCTCCCATCCACCAATGATGCTCAGCGGCGTGCAGGAGGCACTGGAGGGGAAGGAGCGGGGGGCAGGAAGAGGCTTGAGTGAGGGTGGGGCGCACTCAGGGGAGGGGTAGGGTGGGGATGGAGTAGGGGTGGGAAGAGGCAGGGCAGGGGTGGGGTCTTGGGGGAAGGAGTGGAGTGGGGACAGAGCCTGGAGCGGGGGTTGAGCACCCCCCAGGGAAACCAGAAAGTCCGTGCCTCTGGTCTTTAAGTACTTCCTATGAGTTGCTGAACACCCTCATTGAAATCAATGGGAGTTGGGGGCACTCAGCATATCTCAGACTAGAGCCCTTAGCTCCTGCTGTCATTAAGAAAACTTGCAGAAGCCCATCACACCACACTGAGCTTCCTTAATTTCATTGACCAACTGTAGTCTTGAGTATCCCAGGAGGGATTTGTTTTGCTAGACAGACGTAGTTTTTGTTTCTATTGTCAGGAGGAAAGGGTGGTTTATTTCTGGTTAACCATTTTGCTTTTCATCTGGAGTGCACAGCTGCAAAACACCCAGCCTAATAATGAGCCTGCTACAATCTGTGGCCATTGCCCATAACACCTGCATTCTCAGGAAACAGAAAAATATAGGGGAACACGACTCATTTGGTCTTGGCTACCCAGTGTCACACATTTCAAAATCAGCAGAAGATAAGACATGAATCACACACATGCCACTGAAAAGCTTTAAAGTTAAGAGTTAAGGACTCAAACTGTCTCTTTTTAACTCTCATTTTGAGAAAAGAAGGTGATTTTAGATTCTCCAGGTTATAGGGGGTAATTACTGAAATAAAGTCTGAAAAAGCATTATGAAGTGCTGAAAATAATGAATCTACAGATATTAAAAGGGTTCTGTCACATTTTAAAAGTCATAATGTAAAAAGATTCTTCACATATGTAACAAATAATGTCATAGATTAGTAAAGCTGAAAGAAGTTTTGAAGTGGAATTGCTTGTCTCTCTATGTTCTTTATTTACTTTTCACATTTCTCTGAGCTTGGACCATGAAAAAGGCTTGTCAGCTTCACTTTTGTTTGTTGTAATCAGTTTATGGCCAATTTCATTTTGTTGGATCTCTCCTACACTAGTCCCAAGGCTTCAGTCTGTGGATTACAAACATAGCGGTAACGGGTTTTTGTTTTCGTTTTTTTTTAATGTGCAATGGAATTTTTCGTTTTAGTTTCATGGAAACATTGCTATTTGTCTTCAGTTTGGTAACCTAAATTTGGGACCATATTTGATCTGTTAGTGTCTGTTTAATCTGTAGAACACCAGTGTGATATACTGTACTAGTTTCTAACACACATGAGAGCCTACAAGAAACAGAATTTGAATAGCTGCAGAGTTTCATAGTGTGTTAATTATAATTAAGGTGTCAGAAATTTAGGGCCCAATCCTGTGAGGTATCTGGTGCCTCCTGCTGCATTCAGATCTCTCTCCATTGGGAGGCAAGTGTGTTCAGCAGCTTCCATGGTCAGATCCTTAAAAATCGTGCTGTTTTAGGGCCTGCTCTAATGCACATTTGTAGTTCCTGGGAATCTTTCCATTGACTTGGATGAAGCTTTTAGTTATTTTTTATACAAGGTGGCTTGTGGAGAGAACTGGGAGTATGACAGGCTGCTCCGTACTCCATAACTAATTGATTGAAAGGGGTTGCTTGTAAAGTAGTTTGCTTGCTTTGATTTGATAAAGACTTTATAAATCTGAAGGGTTTCAGAGTAGCAGCCATGTTAGTCTGTATCCGCGAAAAGAAAAGGAGTTACTTGTGGCACCTTAGAGACTAACCAATTTATTTGAGCATGAGCTTTCGTGAGCTACAGCTCACTTCGTCAGGTGCATTCAGTGGAAAATATAATGGGGAGATTTAAATTTAAATTTTCCACTGAATGCATCCGATGAAGTGAGCTGTAGCTCACGAAAGCTTATGCCCAAATAAATTGGTTAGTCTCTAAAGTGCCACAAGTCCTCCTTTTCTTCTTATAAATCTGAAGGTTATTGATTACACCAGGGGTAGTCAATAGGTGGACCGTGGGCAAATCCAGACCACCGGATGCTTTTGAACGGACCACAAAATCTTTCTATTTACTTATTATCATTGTTGTTGTTTTTATATTCTTTTCTCTGGAGTCTGGACCTTGACTATACCTTGACCAAGAAATTTGGACCTTGACAAAAGTAATTAATTAATTACCCCTGGATTACAAGTATCAATATCTTTTTTACAGACTTAAATATAACCATAGGCCTGTGTTCTATGCAAATTTTGAAGTGCATTGAAGATTCTTTAGACTGGATTAGCATAAAATTCATTAGTGAGACATGCCTGAAGTGAGGAAAAAGCCCTTATTCTCTTGGGTAACTGAAATAAGAATAGAGTACCGCCTAAATTAAGTTTAACTTGCTCATTTTCTGCTCCACTCTTTCCCCATCTGTTGCCCATAATAAGTATTTTAATGAAAAGAGCCATTGGCAGGCAAGAGTGTTTAAAACAGGTTCGTTTCGTTTCATTTATTACCCAAGACACATTTTCCACAAAGATAAAAAGAGGATTGTTTACAAAAGCTCTCGGGCAGCAGCAATATGAGTTTCCCTTGAAACGTGGAGGATGTTTACAATGGATGTGATACCAGCTTCAATTTTATCATTAGGAAAATAGAACACACTAAGATTAATGCTCCTGTTTTCAGGATTTAATAAAACATGTCTCCAATATAAGCAGGCCGTGACAGTATCATAGCTGAGTTGAGCCAGCAATGTACTCTTTTTAATCTTGCTGTTGAAAAATGCTTGGTTACTGGGCCAACACAGAACGCTAGAAGGCCAGTGTTGTGCCTCCTGCATTCAGAAGATTGATGCAGCCCCTAATGTCATGGACTGGGGATTCTGAGCACCAGGAGAGGCAGCAGGGGTCATTACTTTAGATTAGAAATTTTCTTCTCAAAGCAGTTGATCCCTGTGATGAGAAGCTTTTTATTTTGCACATTGCTGGAGCAGTGCTTTATATTGACATATCTCTGGCAGCCTGTTACAGCTTGCAAAAGCTTGCTTTGAAACCAGCTGTAAAGAAGTTTAGATAGCAGGGGACTATCGGAAGATGGCAATAAATGTATGTAATAAAACATACCAGGTCTCATGGTAGTGGACTGGGATTGTTGCTTTCATAGACTGGTGTAGTGAGATTGTCCATGACAGAGATAATAGGCATCTTCCCTTGCCATCTTGGTGTCCCTCCTTTGAGCCACACTTAGAAGAATTGTTTTAGGCAGAAGAAGAGAGAGCTCTTCAGACCTTTTCTGAAGTTCCTAATAAACATTCCTGCTTCCCCTAGGTTTAGTCCACTTTGGAAAGTATGCAAAGTATTGCCTTTGGTGTGAATCACTTGTTCTGGGTTTCACATTATTATTAAGCCTTGCTAGCGAAAATGCAAACAAAGCTTGTCTTCAGGGTATGGGGAGTAGACAGTGCTGCGCATTGTAATCAGCCGCTCTTGAAGTTTCGTTTAATGTCTCTTTGTGGGCTTTCTTTCTTTTTTTGTTTAAGCGTTTAAATCCATTATTCATGTAACAAGATTCACAGAGAGAAGCAACTGAATTGTGATTTCAGTGGAGATTCTGTTTTAGAGAAATGGCATTTTCATTATTTAAATCTATGCAGTGAGTCTTTACTGCATCGCAAATGCATGAAATTAACACAACAGCCTGTTCATGGGGCACTGATCCTGTTGGTTATTTCCTCTGAAGGGAAATAAACTGACCCTTTTAGCTAATTCAGACGCTTTAGGCTCTCAGAATGCTCAGTTCAATATTGTAGTCATTTTATTAATCACGACAGCAACTTTGAGAAACAGTAACCAAACCAGTGGTCAACTAATCTTATTTCTCATTTTTGGTAAAGAGGCTTCCTCTGCTATACAAAAAAGCAATGCATTCAAACACTTTAGCTACTGCTATTTTCTAAAAATGTTCCTTCATTTAATTCGTCCACCCAACAAAGTGATTTTTTTCTTTCAGTGTCTGTTTTAAAGCATGTTTATGTTGCAATTCTTTCTTATTTGCATAGCCCTTTGTAGTCTGCTTTATTAATACAGGGCCAGATTCTGTCACTGTTGCATTTAATTCCTTACTTCCTGAGCAGGCCGATTGAAATCAAAGGGGCTGCTCACAAAGTGAGGTGCTACTTGACTCGAGTAAAGTCATCAGACTCTGACACCGGCTTTAAAATAATATATTTTAGGGGCTTTAATTGCTTTAGCAATATTACCTGTATTGTATCTATTACAGTATACTTTACAACAACTGGTTTCGTAGCATAAACTGTTTAAGAATGGAATTATTGTTTTTAACTATTTCATAGTGTTAATGCTGTATGTATTAACAGGACCTTAGGACTGAATTCCAGCTGCCTAGTAAAGGTGTTTGGCACAAAACCTCAGGGTAGAGGGGGATTACAGAGTGGTAGGTTTCTGCTGTAATTAAGATTTGCCTCCTTTCACTTTTATCACCCCCTTCCCCCCCCCCCCCCCCCCCCCAGAAAGACCACATCTTAGGCCACATCATCATGATAAATGCCACTGAGTTCTGGGGAGGAGGTCTTGAGGTATGGCCTGCACATTTCTACACATTTTCTGACCTAGCTATGGACATCACATTCCTTCCCCCACACTGCACCAGAGACTTGTGACAATGGTCATTCATGGTCAGAATTCAGGCTTCTAGTAGCTTTAATATGGTTTGGGGTTCAGTTATATAGGGGGACAGTATTTGGTCCTGTGTACAGTGTTGTATCAAATCCATAAGCTGAAGATACTCTGTATGAAATGGTTGCTGCTGTTGTTGACTCTCTTTTTTTCTTTTTGCCCAAGTTTGTCCACTACCTCCAATGGTGATTCATGGAGATTATATTTGCCATCCGCGGCCTTGTGAGCGTTATAACCATGGAACTGTCATTGAATTCTATTGTGATCCTGGTTATACTCTTACCAATGACTACAAATACATCACCTGCCAAAAAGGAGAATGGTTTCCCTCAGCTCAAGTATACTGTGCCAAAACAGGTAAAAATAGCACTAAGATCACAACTTCTGAGGGAGTTTACCCTTTATTTTAACAGTATAATCACAGGCTAACATTGCCTGTCAAACTACATTTGTGTCATGTTTTAAATTTTACAGGTTCATTTTGAAACATTAGTAAGATGTAGTTATTTTCAGCTTTTATGATCTTGAATTTTCAGCGGCTAGCTCCACAAATGCTAAAAGGTGCATATTAAATGTCTGCTAGATCTTCTTTATTTTGTTTGTAAATAAATCCAGATTATAAACACATTAATAAAAATAGCATGGAAGACCCTGAAAGTAGGGATTTTGTCTCTGTATTTATACAAAACCTACAGCCCTGATCCTGATTGGGGTCTCTGAGCATTACTGCAATATAAATATGAAACAACAATAATAATCTAATGCAACTATTTTATTGCCCTTTTGCTACAGAGCAAACCTGGCCAAATACACAGGAAACCCTCCTGACTACATGGAAAATAGTGGCATTTACTGCTACCAGCGTTCTACTGGTACTTCTGTTGGTTATTCTAGCCAGGATGTTCCAGACCAAATTTAAGACTCATTTCCTTCCAAGGTTGGTACTGTAGATGGAGGGCTTTAATTTAGTTATTTCACTGAATGGAGAGGAAATAAAATGACATTGCAAATATCTTCTTTTCTTGCGTTGAACAATAAATAACAGAGGGAATGTGGGGGGAGGGGGGATAGCTAGACAACCCATGGAGTTGGGACCCCTGGAATTCCATAGTACTGTTCTGGCCTTTTCTAGGGCAAAGAGGAGAGGCAAAGTTTGTCAGATTCACTTTGGGTGCGATTATAATAATCGCTAAACTGATACTGAGAGTATTGTCTTTGATCGGATATACTTACAGGTAGAAGCCACATATTTTAATATGTCCATTTTGGGAGTTGGGGAGTAGGTTCTTTTAAATATATTGGGCTTAGTAGCGTAAACTTCAAAAACACTGTTTTTTCTCAATGGAAATATTTTTTTAAAACTTCATAGAGGTCTCCATTGAAACCCCTCCAGGATGTTCATTAACTAACTCTCTCTCTCTCTCACTCACCACTGTGCAGATGTCACTTACCTGTTATTAATGCTCATGCTATTCCTTGAAAGACAGGGAGGTAAATATTACCCTTCCTTTACAAATGGGAAAACAAAGGTTAGTGGGTTAAGTGACTAGACAGGTCTACGTAAGTGAGTTAGTGTTATACCTTAGTTCAGGGTTTCTGGGCCCAGGCCTGTGCTTAGACTGCTAGACAACATGTTTATCTGTCTGTCTTTCTCTGTGTGTTTCTTTTTTACATCATCTATAGGAATGAGAGATGGGAAATATATATTAGGTCAACTAGTCTGTCCCTGTTCCAGTATAGGTGATGGACTAGTTCACCTGAATTATACATACGCAAGTGAGAGAGCCTCTAGATTTAAGAGGCTGCTCCAGTGGCAGGTGTCCTGGCCTGTATTCCTCTGACTTGCTGAAATAGGCTTCTGTCTTCCTCTTTCAGATGTTCCCATATCCTAAAAACACATGGGATCCTGGTAGGACTCCATTGTAATCTAATTCACATTTTTGAGATTAACAGATCCAAAATTGTATAGCCTGAAAAAAATGGTTTGCTTGAAAATATCCTCTTAGTAGTGCCGGGGGGTTTTGGGGAATGTGCATCATTCCAAACTGAGGGCAAAGCGAGCTCAAAATCTCAACCCCAAAGCTTGCGTCATCCAGCAATTATCAGCTCAGTATAGTTTTGCATGTGCTGCAAGTACCCTACCCCTTTAGGTCCAGTGCTGATCTCTTTAGGGATTCACACACTTATTGATTCACCCCAATTCTATAGGATTCTATATCCCTGGTATTTACTCTGCATGGGACAACAGAGAATGCTCCTTATCGCTGCCTCAGACCTGTTTTCCTTTCCTTCTCTAAACAATGTCTCGGTTCTGGCTTTGTTTATCTCATCATAACAAATTGCACACACCTATCAGTCTGAGCGGATTTCTGCAGATCTGTGAAGCGGATATTCCCGTGAATGTTAACGACCGTGTATAGCTCCATTTCATGCGATTAGAAAATATTACGTCTTGAAACGGTTGCTTCAAGATGCTATTGAAATGTTCAAAGACTCCATGATGATCTGTCTTTGTTTGATGTAGAGGTGCCCAGGAGAGTTCCACCAGCGACCCCGACTTTGTGGTAGTGGATGGTGTTCCTGTCATGCTCCCTTCCTATGATGAAGCTGTGAGCAGTGGTTTGAATGCCTTGGCACCGGGATACTCATCTTCTGCAGCCCAGGGGCATGCTTTCCAGGCAGAAGATCAGAACCCTCCAGCTTATCCTGGCCCAGGAGAGACAGACACATTACCTGCTGAATTTGAGAGCTGTGATAGCATATCAGGCTCCTCCGAACTTCTCCAAAGTTTATATTCATCTTCTGTGTGCCAAATGTGCGTGCATCCTATTTCAGATAGAACTGAGGTGATCAATAGCACCACTGGGGAGGCTGCATCCACAAGCCCAAGTATCGATATTGCAGATGGTAAGTTTTGCTTGGATATGTTACATGGGATGTGTGTCAAAGGTAATGGTCAATAAATACAATCCATGTGCTTGTGCTTCAGAGCAGGAATTAAGCAGGAATTTTTTTCAGTATACGTGTTATTCGTTATGCTTTCTTCAAAACAAATTCTTCAGTACTTTTAGGATCTCATCTTCCCCTACCCCACCAGGCTAAGCCCTAGCCAGGGTTGTGGCAAGGGGGGTTGGCTCTCCAGGAATGGAACAGGGAGGAATCTTCACCCCCAAATCACACAGTGGCAACAAAGCCACTCCTTGGAGAGTTTTTCCTTGTTTGTTTTGGAGTGAATGGAGGTTTAGTTGGCTAATTCCAGGCATCACAATAGAAGTGGGTCTTGAGGAGGGATTAGACTGGGGATAATATTGTATATTTTGCTCAAGTACAGCCTTTCATCATGCATTATTTGTATGACAGATATCATCAACTGGTAGGTGTGAGATGGCACTCTGCAGGCAAATAAATTGACCTATGCAGTCTACAAGCTAAAGCCAATAATTCTTTTTTTTTCCCCCTAGAAATTCCATTGATGGAAGAAGACCCTTAACCAGCACAAATTTTGTTCATTATATGATCAGACTGGGCAAAATGAATCATGCACATATATATACATACAGATAGAGAAAAAGACTATTTAAAGATTGGAGGGAGGGTATTTTTCCTATTTTTTGATCTTCCGTGTGATGATGTCACCAGATTGTGTGCACATCTCAATCAACTGTGTGGTTAACAGCATCAGCAATTGAACAGCAGGTTTGTGAAATGAATCCTGGGGATTTGATGAGACCATTTGCAGAAAAAGAACTATGAATTCTTGGAACTGAAATTAACGTATCTCTGCATTGCACGAAGTTGGATGATTCTGTAGAAACACTGTTGAATTTTGATACAAGTACTTACTGCCTCATAAAAGCATGTCAGATTGTGTAGATTTGCTTACAAAGGCTGCTCTATACTATCTGTGGACCCTGGTTTGTGAAGGATTATTATAATTCTTTAAAAAATCAGTGTTGAAATCTGAAAAAAGAAAACAGTCTCCTTTTGAATACCCTGTATTAACCAGGCTTTTAAGAGGAAGCCATTGTTTTTTCTTCCTAACATCATTTCAGACCTTGTCTGCAGAAAACATAACAGAAGAGATGGGACTCATATAAAGTTTGACATTATGATAACAAATATAAATATATATACACACACACTCTTTTAAAGAAAATGAAAAAGAAAGGGAAAGACATGATCTGGAGATTTTTTTAAAGTAAAGTAGGATTTATATAATATATAATGTACAAGGTAAAGTATCAATATTTGTATTTATGCAGCACTTATACATTAGATTTGATAAACCCTGTGATTTTATGAATGGATTTAGAAAGTGTTAAAATAACAAGGTCATGATGAAGGAGGTGTTGAACTACTGTCTTGTTTCCCCATTTCTTACACCATCCCATACATATATACATAGGTTATTCTACGGCCAAATCCCAAAGCACTTAGAGACTAAATTGGTTAGTCTCTAAGGTGCCACAAGTACTCCTTTTCTTTTTGCGAATACAGACTAACACGGCTGTTCCTCTGAAAGCACTACAGTGTCCCTACTGTATGGGGTAGTACTCTGGGTCATTACTGTAGAATACCATAGTACTTTTTTTTTTCTTTTAAAGGGGCATTACCTGTATTTCAGTCCTTTTTTTTATTTACCAGCTTGTATCCAGTTGACCTTCATAGAGCTTGTTATTACTAACCAAGTGCTCTGCTACCATGTTAGCTTCCACGCAGGAACATTTGAAAGGAAGGAAGGACAACGCAGTCAGCTTGAAGTGCACTCATCACGGATACAAATAGACAGAGTGATATTGTTTTAAAGAAAATGCACAGTGCTCAGAGTGCTGTTGAAATTTGATTTCCTCCTTTGCAAGAACGGAATACCATGCCTCATGATCCACTTGTGGCTCCATTTCTCTCCTCCTCCTCCTCATGTGGAGCTGGGGCACAATCTAACCACTGCAAACAAATCCTGTATCTACGGTATGTTCCTGGGAGGGTTATGTGATACATTATTTGTAAGGAATATTCCTCCCTGCTTCAACTTGGCTATTCATTTGCCAAGCAAATTTTCCATCTCATTTCTAGCATTGCACGCTTGAAATAAGAACATTATGTTAAGTTTACAGTGGTTTAAAGCAGGGGTCTCCAAACTACGGCCCATGGGCCGGATCCAGCCCGGGGCTTCCATTTGTCCGGCCCTCCAACCAACGGGGAGAGGTGGCTAACAGCTGAGTAGGCACGCCGAGCAGGCAGGGGGAGGGCTGCCGTCAGCAGCAGCTCACGTCTGAGCTGTGGGGAGGGGTGAGTGCCGCTGGGAGCCAGTGTCCCCCCAGAAGGGGAGACCACTTAGGGGGGAGTCGTTCCTGCAGCTGAGCAGGCACAGACCCCTGCCTTAGAGTAAAAGTACAAGCCAGATGCTTCATTATATCTCCAATAAATGGAGTAAAAAAGATGGATAATTTCATAATGGTTAAATTTTAACTACAGCACTAATAGAACCAAACAGTCCCAACCAACAATGGGAACCTGGAGCTTCTCTTACCAAAGTACAGCCAAACTTTCAATCCTTTGTCATTTTCTTCAGCAGAGCAGGCATGCCTAGCAGGCACAGGGAGAAGGGAGCAGGCAGGGGGCACAGCAGACCCAAAAAGGGGAGCCAACTTACAGTACCTGCATTGATTAACTTTTATACCTGATTTAGAATTTAATACAACACTGACACAGTAGAGTAGTGTTGTTTTTTTAACAATTTTGCATATATTTAATTTCTTTCACAGTTGCTTCGGCCCACGAAGCCCCTTCAAAAATCTAATATGGCCCTCGTCTCATAAAGTTTGGAGACCCCTGGTTTAAACAGTAACTCACTGTTGTCTTGACTGAGACAGATTGTTATCTGTGTGGGCTAGTTGAAAGAAAGAAAGCAATATAGCAATAGAGTCTAGTTTCAACTGCAATAGAACAAATCAGGAGTATTTCTGTTATCATTAGTCAACCCATATTATACTGTTGGTTTTTGTTCATTTATTTATTTATTTATTTGTGTTGTGAGAGCAGCTAGCGGCCCCAGACATCAATCAGAGCCCTATTGTGCCAGGCACTGTACAAACATAGAAGGAGGAGATGGTCCCTGCCCTGAAGAGCTTACAGTCTAAGTATATAATGAGACAATAGGTGAATACAACAAACAGGGAGAGGCAGCAGAGTGTAAGATTGAGACAATGATTGTTATGATCTCGGTTGCCCCAGTCTGAGATCAGAATCTCTAAAGTATGATGTTGAAAGGTAAGATGCATACAGTATCATCTTTCATTGTTGCTTAAATGAGAGCTGCAAATTGCTTTGATGGAGTTCTCTCAGTTGTATCAATATCTATGAGATTTCCCCCATGCGCAGGCCATGAGGACATTCCCACCATATCCAGCTGTGCTTTTATTGCCAATTCCTGGTTCAGTTTGCCATCCCAGCATATATACTGTGTGGGTGATGTGATATCAAGCAAGGAAGACCCTCAGGAACACAGGTTAATTAAATGATTTTGTTTTATAGTATTGTTGCACAGATTTGCAAAATATTAACCATATTACAATTATCCTATAAAATATAGTGAAATCTGTTCTTGCTGCTATCCACAGTGCCCTGTGTTAACAGTTTGCAAAATCTCAATCCTTTTGAAATTACTTACTTCCTGTATATTAACTCCTACTGTGGTAGCTGCCTGGTTAATGTATGTCTGTCTGTCCGCAGACTGCCATTGCTCTGTCTGTTGTATTGCAGTCAGCCTGCTGAGGTGGTCAGAAAGGGCAGCTGGTTCCAAACTTGAAAATTTATTTTTCAAGTAAAGAATTTAGCTCAAAACACTTTCAAAGTATCAATAGAGAGTTATGGTTTATTGGACCATTTTTCTTTGTAAACCTGAAAATGCAATAGAAAACATGTATAAGTGAAAGCTGCTAGTTAGTCTTTTGGTAGTGGTGCTGTTCTGTATTAAATGTGGCCCAAAAGAGAAAAAAAATTGAGTTTGTCCCCCGTTTAATTCTTTATGATATACAAGATGTTTTGTTGCTTGCTTGCTTGCTTGCTTAACATTTTGTTCTGATTGTTTACATTGGAGTGGAATTGTAAAGAGAGTTATATGCAGCAGCGTTGAGCATGTTTGAAAATTCCCCCCTAGAAATCCTGTCTTATGTTTTTTCTTGAAGACACGTTAGGTCACTGGAGAACTGGTAAGATGATACTATGCTTACCTGGCAAGTGAAAGCAGATTGGGAGGGTAAGGTATTCTTATTGTGGTTAAAGATTCCCCACGCAAGCTCCTTCATTTAAGGGTTAAGAGCTCACAACCTACGTTTCTGAGATCTCCAGGAAAACCAAGAAAGAGCAGAATTGGCATTCCTGAAATTTCTAAGACGAAAAATAAGCAGGAAAAAATATATGTTGTAGAGAGGGTGAGAGACAATCATTTCTTCTTTGAGTGTCCCTATGGGTGCTCCGCTGTAGGTGTCTGCGCCCCTGCGACTTTAGTCGGAGATTTTTGGTAGCACTGTCCGTTGAGCCCGCACATGTGTTTCCCCCTCCAACCCCCCCCCACCCCCACCCCCTCCTGCCCCAGGCTATCTAGCACTGCACCAAGAACCCCCCTCTTACTTCCTTCTCAGCGCGGGCACTGGAAAAACATGGGCTCCCAGTCGTTGGCCAGGCCAGCCAGAGGGGTTCCCCGGTGCAGTCACCTCGGTACCAAGGGCACCAGCAGCTCTGAAGTATGGTACTCAGAAGGGAGCCTCTGCTGTGAGCTCTGCTCTCTGCCACATGGGCTGCACCACCTGGAGACAGACAATTACCGTACCATCTCTAAAAGAGCAGCACAGAAAAAATCTTTGGTACCAGGTGTGACAAAACTCCATCATCGTGGACATGGTTAATGCACGAAGCAAGCAACATCATGCCAAGTCGACCCCATATGATCGGGCTTGGCAGGACGGCATATTTGTCGGCAACATTACCATTTAGAGTCACGAATTACCAAACTCTCATGGCCAAATACAATTTTATTAATTATGGGAAACTAAATGTGTTTCTGGAACATTTACTGGAGACACAAAATGAGCAGTTCCAGACCATTCTTAGAGAGGGTCATTTATTAGCCAGACTGGTGCTAGAGACAGCACTAGATGTAGCCGATACAGTGGCCTGCCCGCTCTCCATGACAGTGGTACTGAGGCAGGCTTCTTGGCTACACCTTTCTGGGTTGCCCAAAGAGCTGCAGAAGACTTCCAGTTTGAAGGGCCCAAATTCTTCATGGAGAAGACAGATACTTCTCTCCACATCCTGAAGGATTCCCAGGCCACATCACACTCCCTAGGAATCTGTACTGTGAGACAGAAGAGAAGATACACCTCTCAGCCACAGCACAGGTCACAACCTCCTCAATAACCACCATCTCAGCACTGTTAGGACCTGCAGCGTAAGAGGATGAGGGCTCAAAAACAGAAACATTTCGCACCCCAATCCGTGACTGCCTCTCAATCCGCCTCCTTAAGCACTTTTGACAGGCTGGTTGGGGGCCTGAACAATTATATCTTGCAACATCAGCTGCCATCTACACACCTGTCACGCCCCTTCAGAAATTGCCTGGCCCTTTTTCACAGCAGTTGGGAGAATATCACCTCTGACAGATGGGTCCTGGAGATTATTTCAAAGAGTTACACCATTCAATTCATGTCCTGCCCCCATTCCAACCCTCCTTCCCCATCCCCCTTCAGTTCTGAGAAACCCTTTCTCACGAGAACCTACGTCATCAGGAAATATATAATTTGTTATGCCTAGGGGCCACAGAACCAGTCTCAGTGCAATTCAGGAGCAAGGGGTTTTACTCTCATTATTTCCTGATCCTCAAGGCGAAGGGAGGTTGGAGGCCCATTCTAGTTATAAGGGCATTAAACAAATACTGGAAGGCACAGACATTCAAGATAGTGATGCTAACCACCATTATTCCAGCTCTAGAGCAAGGAGATTGATTTCCAGCTCTCAACCTACAAGATGTCTACTTCCATATCTCAATACAGCCATCGTACAGGAGATTTCCTACAGTACACCTGCTCTGCCTGGAACTGCTCCCTTGATGCTGGAGACACTAGTTCCTTGCTGGGTTGTGGACTTGGGCTTAGTCCCACTGGAAGCGATGCAGGTGATGGGGGTGTCTCTGTCGACTGTGAACCATTCTCTGCTGGTGCACTAGGTGGTATTTGAGGCTTCAGTTGAGCCTGTTGCACCAGTTTAGCTGCTGCTGCAGGTGCAGGCTCTGTGGTGCCCTCTGGTGCTGGTTCCCCTGACTCTGGTGGGGTTGCAAGCACGGACTCTGGTGCTGACTGCTCCGCCAGTTCTGATCCTTGGACTGGCTCTGGCTGGGTCCCACAAACTGGATCTACAACCTCTGCTATAGACTCTGGTCTGGGGTCTGGTTTTACCAACTCTGGCTGGGTCCCCAGGCCTATAGTATCAGGGGACACAGACTAGGTCCTTTTAGGAGGCTCAGGAATGGAGTTAGGTGTGGAGGCCTGTTTAGCCTGGCTGCGGGTGACCATCCGTACCCTTTTTGTTAGCCTCACATGGTTGGTTAAGTTTTTTCTCCCAGCAGCATGGGAATGGGATAATCATCATAGACTGCAAAGGTCCGCTTTCCTGACCAGCCCTTGTCTGTAGGCAAGTTAAGAGTTGGCCTTAAAGGGTTGCACTGTCACTTGGGCCTCTGGGTTGATGAATTTGGGGTCCACCAGGGATTGGTGGCTAGCTGACGTGTGCTCCAGTTTCTCTCCACGCTGTAATCTTCCTCCCGCCCACACTCAGTTTCCCTTCGGTCTGGGGGTATTTGCGAGACATCTAGGCCTGAAGGCTCTTGGTGGGACCCCGGGGTGATGAGTTGCAGTCGGCTGGTGCTCTTGGGGCAATAGGCCTTCACATGCCCCAGCTCGTTACATTTAAACCATTGCCCAGCTGAGTGAGGGCTGGGGCGAGGTGGGTGGGGTGGTAGGACCATAGGACATCTGGGGTCTCCCTGGCTGTGTGGAGGACTTCTGCTTGTGAGATGGGGCCTTGGGCTCATTCCGATGGTGGGTGTCGTCTTGGGTTGCCCCTTCTGGTACCCCCACCAACTGCTACTAGCTATCTTCTTCTCTGCCACCTCCACCCATTTGGTTCCGATCTCCCCCACCTCGATTACAGTTTTGTGCTTCCCATCTAGGATGTACCTTTCTATTTCCTCAGGAACACCCTCTAAGAACTGCTCCATTTGCATTAGGAGATCTTCCTGAGACTTAACACTTGCTCCTGATATCCAGGCATCCCAATTTTTTACAATGTGATAGGCGTATCGGGAAAATGCCCTATCTGGTTTCCACCTTAGGGCTCTGAACCGCCGACGGGCATGCTCGGGGGTTAGCCCCATCCTAATTCTGGCCTTGTGTTTAAAAAGTTTGTACTCGTTCATGTGTTTTTTAGGCATTTCAGCTGCCACCTCTGCTAAGGGTCCACTGAGTTGTGGCCTTAGCTCCACCATATACTGGTCTGTAGGGGTGTTGTACCCAAGGCAGGCCCTTTCGAAATTTTCTAAGGCCTCTGTATCATCGCCTACCTTGCATCTGGGGAATTTCTTGGAATGGGGAGTGGTACCTGGAGGAGGACTATTAAGGCTACTTGGCTGACCCAGCTTAGCCCTTTCCAGCTCTAAGTGCTTCAGCTCTGTCTCCGCTTCTAAGCACTTCGCCTCCATTTCCACCTCCAAGCGCTTCATCTGTAGGAAGAAATTCCCGTCTTCCATAGTTAGAACTCAGTCTGGGTTAAGGGCATCCCTCCATCTTGGCACCTGAATCTCGAGTTGGGGAGGGCTGACCATTCCCTCTGGGGAAAACTCCAGTCCCCCATCCCCTCCCTGCATTTCTTTCATGGAGCTGGATGTCTGGGCTTGATCTGGGTCTGTCTTCTCTGTGGCGTGCCACTTTGGGAAGACTGGTTGCTGTAGGGTTTCAGTGCCTGACTGCAACCTCATGCACAGGGCTGTCTACTCTAGCCTAGCTATTTCATTGCCACAAAGCTAGAAAAAAAAATAAACTGCTTGTTGGACTCCCTGGCTTTGCAGGCTGAACCCTTTGCATGCCTGTTCCCCCTCAGGCAGCAAAGAAAAGAGGAAAAAAAACTCCCTGGCTTTGCAGGCTGCCAAAAGGAAAAATGTGTCCTTTTAAAATCCTGAGGTCTGTGCCTCTGGTTCAAAATGATCCCACGACTGCAACCATGTCAAGGCTAATTCCCCACTCTGGGACTATGAGTGCAGAAGGTGGGGGTCCACAAGGATTCTAAAAATTAATAAAAATAACGAGGAGTCCTTGTGGGACCTTAAAGACTAACATATTTATTTGGGCATAAGCTTTTCATGGGGTTAGAACCCACTTCATCAGATGCAGGGAACGAAAATACAGGAGCAGGTATAAATACATGAAAGGATGGGGGTTGCTTTATCAAGTGTGAGGTCAGTCTAACGAGATAAATCAATTAACAGCAGGATATCAAGGGAGGAGAAATAAATTTTGAAGTGGTAAGAGAGTGGCCCATTACAGACAGTTGACAAGAAGGTGTGAGTAACAGTAGGGAGAAATTAGTATTGGGGAAATTAAGTTTAGGTTTTGTAATGACCCGACCACTCCCACTAAGGTTCCCAGAGGCTTTGGGGCAGAGATGCACTGTAAGTAAGTATTGTTTTGGTACAGGTGTGGGAATTTTGCAAACTCAATTTTATAGTCACTTTAAAGAAATTACATCAATATTGAAATCTAGCCAGTTTCAAAAACTAGTTAAAACTAGCTCCTCTGCAGTCCCTCTGCCAGCTTCCATGGTTTGATAATGTCCTGTTTTGAAAAAAATATGTTTCTCTCCTGTGTCGATATGTGAAAGACCCACCTAGCGAGAGGAGGAATGCTGGAGCAGATGGCACACACAGTGCTGCCAAATGTAGACTGAAAAAACAGAAACGTGTTACTGTCATCTCCAGTATCGTCCTCTTGAGTGGTAGTTGCTAACCATTTGGAGACAGAAGTGTAGTTGCTTATAGCAGACAAACCTCTCTGTAAGGATGGTGGGTTACTCCTCTCATATTGCAGCGTACATTGGTACTGATGTGTTAACTAAGACGCCAACCTTTAACATAGAAGTATGAACAGGAGATCCAACAGGTTTGGTCAGAAAAATGTAAACAGAGGTGTTCTGAGGCCTCATTCTGAACCAGTGGGCATCTGTATCTTTGCTGATGTCATATCTGCCCCTGAAAAAAAATTCTCAAAAATAACAGTGTCAGGCAAATTTGACTGGCCAACTCTCAGACATTTCCAGAAGTGTGTCAGATGCACTGGCTCAAAGGATTTAGGAGAAATAACTGGGCTTAACCCAGGTCCCATCATTTCAGCCTGTTTTCTGTGTTGTCTATATAGGAATGTATCCTGTGCATTGTCTTCTGGCATGTTCACCATCCCTTTGGTGTTTATACAGATTCCAGCCAGAGCTGTACTCCAGTTCAGCAATGGAAGTATTCCATAGACCTGGACTCCACTAAGAGCCTCTGAGTGTAACCCGAGCCCCACTGCTGCCAACGGGAGCTTTGCCATTGACTTCAGTGGGACCAGACTTTCACCCTAAATCAAATCTGAGATTGTGTTAATCTGCTCTTCACTTTCAGTTTTGGCTGTTCCATAGGTGCAGGGCTCTTTACTGGAAACTCCCTGTGCACTGTGTGAGGTTATTCACCCTCCGCATTTAGCTGAAGACAGCAGTTTCAGAATGCAGAGCCACAGTGAAGACAGCAGTTAGATTACTGAAGTGGTCAGATTGTCAGGTTTGTGCAGAATATTCCTCCCCTCAGCATTGTTCTGGTTCCATAAAAGGAGTTTCATAAGGCTGCCCAATCCTCTCTGCTTCCTTATGCAGAGGTTAGCCAGTATGCCACATTAAAGCCAAACCTGGACTGAGGGGAGAGCAGCACACCTGTGGCTTTCTAAACATGGAGCTCCTGTCTTTTGGTCTCTTTTGGATTCTGGGGGAGCGGACAGGGAGGAACCAGAGAGCAGCTTCTCTGGATCTCCAAGGGCACATCTGCTCCAAAACTAATACTGGTTGAACCAGTAGCAAATCCCACTGTGCATCTATAATACCCACCCCTTGCAGGCTGCTTTTGGGGGAGTTATGCTTCCATGGCAGAAAGACGGGCCTTGCTTTGCCCTGTCCTGTTTCAGGTCATTTTATATATGCTCCTTCCCTCTGCAGGTAACATGAGGGAGCTAACCTAGAGTAACAGCCTAGTCCTTCCGCTTTCCCATCTGTGCCCCAGAATAATTGGTAGAAAACTCCTCAGTAGGAACTCCTGTAGTATCCTTCATGCTCGTTAGGGTTTTCCCTATATGGAAGAAATGTGGCCCAGACTTTCCAGATACACCTTTTCCATGAGTGGAAGAGCCAATATTTAACAATAACAGAAAATGCCCCCACCTGCTGGCTAGACTGTGTGTGTGTGTGTGTGTGCTGCACATTAACACAGCTGAGACTCAAACTAGGACCCTTGTGATCTGATGGTGGCAGCTTTCCTTTGCGAGTCAGAAAGAAATCCCCTAATGGACAAGGCAGAATGGGCTGGGCTAAGATCCATGTAGTGATTATTTGATAACTACAGGAACAAGAGATCCATACAATAACTTATTTGAAGCAGAAGCCTGCAGAATAGATGGGTTAAAAGCAAAGAAGACCAGTGGAAACACCCTAGCAGGGTGCTATGGGAAGGCCTTGGGACTGATTCAAAATGAAATAAAGGCACAAAGAGAAAGAGATTCCATGAGAATATGCTTCAGGTACCTTGGGCGGATTCAGTTCTTCCCTCTTGCCTCTGCACTTCATGGTGCATGAATTAGCTCTGCTTGCAGCAGTGATTCTTGTCTGCCATGGATGAGACTTTCTTTGTGCTCAGATGAATTTCCTCCATCTTTCTAGATTTGCTTTTTCCTTCCCCTCTGCTTTTTTCTTCTTCTTAGTCTTTCCTCTTTGCTTTTTCTATCCCCTCTTCACACTGTTACTTCTCTTTCTCAGACAAGATGCTGGGATGTGAAATTAGTTTGTTGATATCAGGTCGTTTCTAGAGGCAGAGTTTCCCCATCACAGCACCTCATTGACATTCTCAGAAGAGAAGACTGATAGGTCATGGGGACTGAATGACCCACTGCCCAAAGAAATGCGCCATGGAGATCATGGTTGAAGCACAGTGAGGGTTGCTTGTGTTACGGCAGCCCATGCTTTATCTGGTCTGACGCTGTCAGTCCCCAGGCCCATCAATGCATGTGAACATATACACACAAAGAAGTATTGGCCAAGATTTTCAGAGTGACCAGTGCTTTTGGGTGCCCAACGTGAGACCCTTTTAAAGGGGTTGATCTTCAGAAATCTGCAAATCAGCCTTGAAAAGCTTGGCCACTGGACACAGCAGAACAGTCCATCCAGCTATATCCTATTGCTGCTTGGTTTGTTTCTTAATAGAAGAATAATTGTGCTTTTATTACAACAAGCAGCTGAGAATTTGCTAGTTACTATGTTGTTACGTTTACATCCAACTTTTGCCAAAACAAGACTAGGTTAGTTTTCTACTGCTCCTTGCCCTCAGCCTCTGGCTTCTGAGAGTCCAGTGCTGGATGAATGCCACTCGTAACTCTGTGTCTCAGAACCGCACCTGTTCTCTCTAGAGTATTTACACTTCTCACCTTTGTCCTTGTGTTATCTCTCTGGCAGCACATTTGCCCATCTTGATCTTGCTGCTGTCTGATATTTTAGTGGGAATGCCATGTCAACTGATGTATTTTTTTATAACCATATAATTACTGCCTCTCAACAAGGTGCTTGGGGCAAAAGGTCTTTCTTAGAACATTGGGATGGTGCAACAGTCAAGAATTTCAGAGTTAGCATTCCAAAGGGCTGGGCAGTTTCTATTACAAATACATTTCACTGGTGGTTTGTGGTATGGGCGAGTCTCTCTTTTATGGGGTGGGGAAAGAATTGCTGAGCAAAGCTGTGCTGTTCTGCATCCACACCACTAGGACGCACCTTGATACCACAAGAAATACCATTAACGGAATAGATTTGTTTAGTCTGTAGATCTGATAATACCTGCAATTTTAAATCCAGTTTTTATAGGAAACAGAACTGCTACAGTCTATGGCTCCACTAGGAGGAAACCAAACAGGGGCTGAGTGCCATTCTCCACTGACCATGTGCTGCTCTATACTGTGTCACTGACACTACTTGTTTAATAAATGGAGTGTTACAATCCCCAGTGAAATTGTTCATTTACATTATAGTCTATGGCTGAATTGCCCTCCCCATTCTATGATTCCTTCTAGATCCTTTTTCCTGTGCTGCCTGTTTAAATCTTGCATCAGAAGTTCACTGCACCCTCATCAACAAATATGCTATGAAGGATTCTTCAGGCCAGTCCTACAAGGTGCTGAACGCCTTCAACTCCCATTGGTTTCTCAGCACCTCTAAGGAGGGCCCTGAAATTGTTACTTCATTTAAAAAAAACTAAACTGCACATTAGACATTGAGATTGAGCCTGATCTTCTTCCTATTCTTTTTCATTTGTTGTTTAATTTTAAATTTAAAAATTAATATCAACACATTCAAGAAGTAGCTAAGGAAGCCAACTTTAAAGCAGATCAGACTCATGGTCAAAATTAGAGCCCAGAAAGAAAGTCTCTCGTTAAGAAGAGTCAATACTAGCCCATAACTACTGAAATCTGAAAGCTTAATGCAAGCTGTATCCCTACATTAATTGCTAGTGTTTATAAGTGCTTTTGCTGGAAAGATACAACTTCTGCAATATAGTTACATATTTATACTCTGTACAATAGATCTGTACGCTTACAAAGGTGGGCCTGTGTCTTTGGCCACCAGTCAGAAGGGAGCTGTGTGTAATATTCACAAGTGCAATACTAATAAAACACATTTGTGAACTTTGACATTTGGTGAATTTTTTTTCTTTTACAGAATAACAAGAATGACATAGAGCTTAGAGGAAAATGAGTCAAGGCATTAGTAGTGTCAGAGAGAGAGGGTGGAAATAAGAGCAACTGTGTGGAGGGTGGTAGGTATGTTTTGAAGGATGTTAAAGAGGTTCTGTCAATTTGGATTTTTTTTAACTACATAATTTTAAAAGCTGGGTTTATGATAGAGCACACTTTAAACGGCTTGTTTAGTTTCTTTAAAAGAAATTACTTGATTCATCTGCATCCCTGCAGATCCGTATCACTTACAACAATCTTTGTTACATTGGTGTTAAAGTTGCTGCCATACAACCGTGCCTTCTGTTCCCTATATCATTCTGGAACATGGGACTTCTAAATCCCAAACCAAACAAGCTAAGGTCCCACATATTCTGAAAATAATATTTAGTTACATAAGAACAAAAGAACGGCCATACTGAGTCAGACCAATGGTCCATCTAGCCCAGTATCCTGTCTTCTGACAGTGGCCAATGCAAGGTGCTTCAGAGGGAATGAACAGAACAGATAATCCTCAAGTGATCCATCCCCTGTCGCCCATTCCCAGCTTCTGGCAAACAGAGGCTAGGGACACCATCCCTGTCCATCCTGGCTAATAGCCATTGATGGACCTATCCTCCATGAACTTCTCCAGTTCTTTTTGGAACCCTGTTGTAGTCTTGGTCTTCACAACATCCTCTAGCAAAGAGTTCGACAGGCTGACTGTGAGTTGTATGAAGAAATACTTCCTTTTGTTTGTTTTAAACATGCTGCTTATTAATTTCATTTGGTGACCCCTAGTTCTTATGAGAAGGAGTTAATAATGTTTCCTTATTTACTTTCTCCACACAGGTCATGATTTTATAGACCTCTATCTTATTCCTCCATAGTCTCTTTTCCAAGCTGAAAAGTCCCAGTCTTATTAATCTTTTGCACTGGTTTTACACTATTGCAGCTCACATGCACTGGGGTTTGCACTGTGTAGCAACATCAGTGGAAAAATTTCAGTGTAGACAGACCTTAAGGGTCTTTTGCCAGGAGAGAAAAATGGGCTGAGAGTAACACCACCAATGTGTTTGCCCCACTCCCACCTTCCCCTCCGTGCACTCCTCTGACTGCGGCCTCTTCTCTTTCAGCTTAGCTGCTGCAATTAGTTGTAATCCACCCTTGTACAGAGTAGTTGCATGAGGCAGGGAGGGCAACTAAGCATCAACATCACAATGAAAGCGACTATACTCAAGCTCTCAAATGCACACAGTAAAGAAACAAGTAGCCACCCAGATCGTTAATTTAGTAATAGCAGGCACATAATTTTCAGGCAAATATGATTTCCAAGTTGATGCTGACTTTTAAAATGATAGTAGTTATCTGTCCAGCGGAACTTGGGCTCCATGGTATCTCTCATGACCCCAGTCAAGCCTCTACAAGGCAACAGGAGGAAATGGAACAGATGTGAGCAGTGTTTGTGGGGCTTAGACTCATTGCACAAAGGGTATGTCTATACTGCAATAAATCACCCACGGCTGACCCATGTCAGGCTCGGGCTGTGGGGCTATAAAATTGTAGCGTAGACAGTCTGGGTTTGGGCTGGAGCCTGGGCTTTGGGACCCTCCTCCCCTCCAAGGACATCTACGCTACAGTTTTATAGCCTTGCAGCACAAGTCAGCTGACATGGACCCGCCGTGGGTGTTTTATTGTGGTGTAAATATACCCAAAATCTGCCGAGACTGGCAGCAAGCCCCAGACAAAGTCGACCTCACTCTACAGTGTAGGGCAGTTGCTGGAGCATGCTCCAGTCTGGCTCCTTGGAAGCCATCACTTGGGGGCAAAGTTTACAACAGCTTCCAGGCTACTCTAAACTCAGATGTAAGACTGGCTCCAGGATCAGGGAAACGACCTCCTTGGTGCCCCAGCCCACCCCCACATCCTGTTCCCAGCAGAGATCTGGACCACCATCTTCATTTTACAGTCTCATGAGCTCTTGCTCTAAGTATACCTGATCACTGATCGCTCACTAAAATATCAGAACCTCCGGAAGGGAGAGGGTTGGTGTTTGCAAAGGTGGTGCTTAGGGGAGGGATCAAATGGACACTGGATGGCATGGAAGGAAGTGAAGCCCCAGAAGGGAGAGGGCTGAATACAAAAGCCACAAAAGTGGACATGAGGCAGTGCTGTCCTTCCCGCTGAACTTTTGCGTGCAAATCCCGCTTGCTTATGGATGGAAATGTGGTTTGGCAGCTACACAAGGGAACTGGCAGCCAGGACTCCAAGCTTCTATTCTGAACTTTGCCAATGTGATCCGTGGCAAGTCCCTGTGCCTCAGTTTCCTCAGCTTTAAAACTGGGATAATGATACTTAAGTCACTGCAGTGTTATGAGGCTTCATTAATTAGAATTTGTAAAGCACTAGATAAAAAAGAGGAACTGATGTGCCAAATGTGACCAGCTTTGCAATTTTTATACTTTGCCATTTCGTACATGTACAAAATGTTACTACTTCTGCTAAAGTACAGCGTCTCCTCCACTATTTCCACACTTGAGGAAGTTGTCAGAGTGAAGCAATACAGCCTTACCAGTGGGCTGTTTTTCATTATTACAGCTCTCCTCAGTGACCCGTGAGGCACAAGGCTGTCTTGAAGGTGCTGAGTTTAAGCCACAATTGCACTGGAGTTCAGCATGTGCCAGTGTGTACAATTTATAATTTGTTTCACAGGGCATTTCTTTTGGTGTTACTGGCAGGTTGGCTTTGATCTTCATCCTTCCTTTTATTTGCACGCTGCTAATGTCACTAGCTTGCTTATTGATACTACATAAAATGGGAGATTCAGGGAGATGCAATGTTCAGGGACCAACAGGTCAGTCTCGCAAACTGCTAGACACACCAATATGATGAAAGCTGTTACAGGCAGATTTAATAAAGGTTAATCAAGCTTGTATGTTGTTTAGAGTAGTTTAAAAATAGATATAAGCCTGAGCCTCCAACTTTTAATCACAGGAGTAATTCCACGGAGACCATTTTAAGTTGGGAGTATTGGGCCCTCCAACATTAATCCTTATCATTTCCCTCCCTCTTTCTTAGTCATAATGATAGTCTTTAAAGCATGATGACTAAATTCTGAGCCAGGATCTGATGGTAACTCAAGTAGCTGAAACTTTGGTCAACCAGTTGCTGCTTCAGTTTTCCATAATCATAATGTAGGTATTTGCAAGTCAAAATAAAACATGTTGAATTATTCCAGTGTCCAGTGCTGGGAGCTCCAAGTCTGATGGAATGCTGTACTTTTTGATCAGTGAGGTCATTTGGTTTAATCAGACTGCACTGTCCGACTGTCGTAACTTTTCTGTTCCCTTTGTTCATATTGCCATTGAGCCAGATAAATCCCCAGTGTAACTTCATTGTGCTGTGGTTGCAAGATTTTTGACGAAATAAGAATGAGAAAATACATTCCTTGCAGTTTTGGATTTGATTCAGAACAAAGCTCACAGAAACCCATTTGGAGCTGAATCTAAGCCATCTGAAATTGGAGGATCATCTTTGGGCTCACCTCTACTTTCTAAGGGAAGAAAAGATGTCCAAGCGCATACTGTAATTTCTTTTTTGTCACTCCATCATTTTGGTCAACAAACTGTTCAGTGTGTAGCTTTAATAAAAGCTTTCCAAAAAGCAGTGAAGGATATCCAGGAGTCACCTTCCATTCCCCTCCCAGCTGCTGTGTACACATCTGGGTTCTTTAGAATTTGTGACTTTATTGAAAAGTGAACAGATTTGTCCATACATCCTGTGAAAATCACCTGGAAAAATTCAAATATTTGGTATTTTAAAAGCTTTTCCAGGCTGGTCTTTTAAATGCTGAGACTCAAGGAATAACAGGAACTGTGCCTTATTATTACTGGAACATATCCAAATGAACACAATTCTTTGCTTCTGGTGTCCTCTCTAGGGCTGCACCATAATAATGGCTTTGATCTTGCATAGTTGGGGGCCTATTATAGATGAGACCACTGTGTCCCGCAAGAACATTTTACCCATCTGTTGTACAGTATGCAAGAGTCCAAAGGTGCAATAAGAAATACATTTAGTCAGTGCAATACATGAAATAAATTATCAATTTAATTTATGAATCACCAAAGTGCAATTAGGGGACTTCACTTAGAAAGTATTAGTCGTTCACCTTAGATCTCATCCATGGCTATTCATATTTCGTGGATTCTGTTTGGTTCATTTTGGCCTGATCTCAGCTGAGGACAAATCCTTTTTGCAGTATAAGTCCAGCGCTAGTCCTAGTTAATAACTTTTTTTTTTCATGCATGCATGGGTTGTCTTTTTGGGTCATCTTTCAGTAACTCTTATGGTCACACTTTTTATATGAAGGTTCCATTTATAAATGGCTTAGCAAGGCTTAGTACATTATTGATACATGTTATAGTCATATTACAGACCTGAGCAGTATCAACGGTCAGCGTTATAAGCCATGGTAATAAACAACCTATTGACCTGTTGGAGACTATAACAATATATATAGACAATTGGTTAACCAGTCATTAATCATTTATTGACTCTTTATAAACATGCAACCAATAGCCTTAATGTGGTTTTCCTCCTAAATTAGAAATAATTATGTATCTTATTGTTGTACCTCAATGCTTTAATTGATCAATGCTTCAATCAGGGACACACAAGCTTAATAAAGGAAACTCCACAAATAGGCTTCCTCTTTAAGCTTTTCAGTGTTTTTCACTGGTGTGGGGGAAGTACCCCTGGTATTTCTGCTGTAGTTGCAGTGGAAACCACGATATGGCATTTTAGAAGTGGCAGATTTGTGGTCACAAAAGTGTGCCTGTAACTGCATGTGAAAAGCAGGGAGTCCCATGCAAGAACAGCCAGCCAGGGGTCTGACTCACCATTTGTGTGGGCCACTGCTTGAGATGCACAGATAAATGTAGCAACTGAAACTACACAGAAGTTGTCCAGTC